TCGGGTGCAGACAGACACGGATGCAGGAAAGGGCAGACAGAATTTCAGTAAGCAAACGCAGCCAGAGATGAAGTGGCAGATGCAGATACAAACGTGGATAGATGCAGATGAAGACACAGGTGCAACTGCAGGTGCAAATACAGATGCAGGCAGACACCGATGGAGAGGCAGGAGCAGAGGCAGACAGATGAAGACACAGGTAGAAACACAGGCGTCTACGATATGGATGTACGCTTACATGCAGGCGCAGGTGAAGATGCAGATAGAGAGATCACGCGCTTTCCAAAACCACAGGGGAAAGCATCAAACACCTGCAGCTTCCCTCTTAGAGATAAACTGGGGGATAAATAAAAACCTATGCACAGTCATAAGACCCAGCTGTGCTCTTCTCTCTCGGTACCAAAACCACGCCGGCATGCATTCTGTCCTGTAACACTGGCCATTATCTATGATAACCACACATCATCTGTGAGCCCTTAATTACGCCATGACCCCTTTTGCCTTGGTTTCTCCTATTCACCAAAGAGGATAATTGCCCGCCTGCCTATCTTATCAAAATAATCCATTTTTTATTTTTTTATTATTTCATTTTATGTGTTTGGGGCGACTTGTCTGCATGCTTGTCTGCATGTATGTGCGTCCTGTGCACATCTGAGGCCTGCAGGAGAGGAGGCTGGCTCCTCTGGAACTGTGAATCACTACATGGGTTCTGGGACTCGAACCCAGGTTTTCCAGAAGAACAACCAGTACTCTTAACTTCTGAGCCATCTCTCCAGACTCAAAATAGTCAGTCTTTAAACAGAGATCACATATGTTAATTCATTTGGTCCTCAGAACAGCCCTATCATATCAATGCTATCACCATCCCCCATGTAACAGAAAGGGAAACTGAGTTGTGGGACAGCTTCATACTTGTCTCGTGTCACACAGCTGGGAGGGATTTGAACCAGCGCCCCCTGGTTCAAAAGCAGTGGTTCTCAACCTGTGTGACCCCCTTTGGGTTGTTAGAGTGACCCTTTCACACAGCTCACCTGAGACCATAGGAAAACATGAATATTTACATTATGATTCACAACAGTAGCAAAATTACAGTTATGGAGTAGAAACAAAAATAATTTTATGGTGGGGGGGCGTCATCACAACATGAGGAACTGTGGTAAAGGGTCACAGCCTTAGGAAGAGTGAGAGCCACTGCTCTAAAGCCTAATGCCAAAGAGCCCGGACTAGGGTTTCAGAAGCTTGCAAAGGACAAGAAGTGTCAGGGCTCCTTGCGGTAGAGCACCTTCAGCTTCCTGGGGCAAGGGGATAAGACCCCCGCCAGAACATCGGGTTCTGCCAATGTTTAGCCATGGTTCACCCCTCCTAAGGGTGAAGAAGACAGCACAACCTCCTGCCCTTCCCAGCCACATGACGGCCACGGCGTGTGTTCTCTCAAAGCACATCTCTGCTGCCAGGAGCAGGTTTGTCTGTCTCCAGGAGACAGCGGTTGTCCGGCCCCCAGAGAACAGCAAGCATGTCAAAAATAGCAGCGCTAGCAGACTGTGTGGCTGCAATTTCCTTTTGAAATGCCGGCTCTGCTTTCACCAAAAGGCCCAGGTCTGAATGCACTCTGCAGCCGGCAGCAGATTGCTCAAGGCTCCAGGATGTTTTCTCAGGGCAGGCATCTGCACAGAGGCGTCTGAAGGACATGTGGAAAGCAAATCCTATAATTGACAGCATGGGTCTGTGGTCTTGACTAAGAGAAATTCCCTAGATAGCACCACTGATGAGGTTAGAGTTACATTTAAAAAAAAAAAAATGTCATAAAACTGAGCAAGGATAGGACCCAAAGAGGTCCTAGATGAGCATTAACCCTGAGTTTCTCACTGATGGTCTTTTTTGACCCTTTTATTCTGTGAATGAGTCAATATCCTGTAAGGATAACCTTTCAAAGCCTGTGAATGGCAGTCCCCCTCCCTCTGGAGGGTACTATGTAAACAAGGCCATGAGGACAAAGAAGGGACTGAGAGTCCAGAAGAGCAACTTTCTCCAGCTCAGAGTAAAGAAACAAGAAAACATCATAGTCTCCAATCCCATGAGGCCCTCAAGCCCAGAGCCGGAAAGTGACAGCATGAGGAACAGGCTGTCCATTTCTGTCCATATCCCAGTGGCCTGTGTCTGGCAATATGTGTCCTTCCTCCAAAGCCCTGTTCTCCAGGCCTCATTCTGCCAGGAGGTGTCTGCACAGAGGAGTCTTAAAGGGACATGGGCAGTGAATCCTACAGCTGAATGCATGAATTCTCTTCCTCCCGTAAGTGACCTCGACACATCAGAGGGGGAACACACTTCCCTTCCTCAGGCAGTAACACACAGTCAAGACCAATCAGAGTTAGACAGCAGTTCCAGCCAGACGGTCCAGGGGACGTGACATCTCCTGGGAATCGTTCTTGGCATTTACAGAGATGCAAGGTGAGAGAAAGTGCTGCATTGCAAAGCCTGGGTCAGAGGAGAGAGGAGCCGCATGCGGAAGATAAGCAGATAGGCAGTGGGAAGATAGGATCAGGAGGTGTTGTGTAGAGGGAAAAGCCCAGCGGGAGAGAAGGACAGGGCCCCGAGGGCATGGGCATCCAAAGGCAGACCAGGCTGATCTCTAGCAGACAATAGGAAAAGTACGATTAATGCCAGCCACCTTAGGTTAACCAAAGCCTAGAGGATGCCAGCTCCTGTCACACGGGGATATTCACACATGACCTCAGGGAAGAGTGGAAGAGGGTGAAGGATGACTAAACTGAGCTCTTGATGCTTACAGATGCAAGGATTTGGCATTCTGGGAGCTTTGTGGGGTGCTATGTTCTGGAACAACGCGTAAACTCCTTGAGCAAGCCCTTGGTTCCTTCTCCTGTATAGCATGAGGCTTGCAGTGCTGCTCAACCAAAGAACCGCCATGATGGGTCTTCAGA